CTTTGCTTCTTCGGCGGCCTCCTTTGCGGCTCCGCTCGCGCCTCGGCGGCGCAGGGGGCCGAGGGGGGCAATCGGAACACGAGACCGTCGAACCAACAAGATTCGCGCCAGGGTTCCAGGGGAAGAGGGCGCGGCAGCGGTGCTGGGCGGCGAGCGACGGGGGGGAAGTGAAAAAGCGGCGGGCCCTCTCGGAAGGACGGGGGACTCCAGAGCCTTCTGACACGGCCCAGCCCTTCTCACTTCCCCCCGGGCTCGCCGCCGAACTTCATGCAGCCACCGCACCCCATGAGGACCATAAGCCGCACCGCCGTGCACGATCCAGCCCGACTGTGAAGACACGCGCCGACGCCTCGGAAAACGGGTTGTGCAATCTCACGCCGCGCCTTCCATAGCAGCGGGTCAGTGTAACAAGGGCGCCTCACTTCGCGCTTCGCGCTGCGCGCAGCGCAAAGCGCGAACAACTTCGCGCTTTCGCGCCGCCCCCCAGGGCAGAAGAAGAGGCCGAGGAGGAATCGGAGCCGAACCGCGAAGTGCGAAGCGCGAATAACTTCGCGCCCTCGAGGGCGCCCTTGGAGCAGGCGGGGGCCGCAGGACGCAGTAGGGCCACACTCGAGAGCCGGGCGGAGGCAGGAGGCGGGGAGTGCAAGCGGGGCGCGCGACGAAGGCGAGGATCGACGGGGGCGAAAGGGGGACAGGAGTACAGTTAGGTCGGGGCATGTTTCCCTACAGGCGCATTTGGACAAAAAAAAAAAAAAAAAAAAAAAGTACCACACCTGTCGTGCCTTGCGCGCCTGCAACGCATAAAGACCGCAACCCCTGTGCACCCCTTTGGTGCCGAGAAAATGCCACGCCCGCCGTGCCCTGCGAGCCTGCAACGCATAAAAACCGCAACCCCTGCGCACCCCCTCTGGTGTCGAAAAAGTGCCACGCCCGCCGTGCCCTGCGAGCCTGCAACGCATAGAGACCACACCCCCTGCGCACCCCTTTTCTGGTGTCGAGACAGTGCCACGCCCGCCGTACCCTTACGCGCCTGCAACGCATAGAGACCGCACCCCCTTGCGCACCCCTTCTGATGTCGAGAAAGTGCCACACCTGTGGTGCCTTGCGCGCCTGCAACGCATAGAAACCGCCCCCCTTGCGCACCCCCTCGGGCGTCTAGAAAGTGCCACGCCTGCTGCGAGCCTGCGGTGCCCAGTATGCGGCGCATACGTCGTGGGTGCGTGACGCAGTGAACATGCCAGGCGTACACTGGCGTTGTTCGTGCGTGCGTGCGTGCGCGAGTGCGCGCATGCGCGCGGCTGCATGTGGACGCGCGTCTCACGCGCGCGCCGCGCATGCGTTGCGCGTGGACGAGGCGAGAGAGAAAGAGGAGGTGAGGAGAGAGGAGCGAAGGAGGTGAGACGCGGGTGCGACGCGGGTTGGAAGAAACAAGAACCCCACTAAACATGCGAGGAAAAACACCCTGGTTCCCAGCAGGGACCGGCGACGCACAAGGCTCCACAAAGAACTATGACGCAGACAGCTCTAGCACCAAATCGGCGAGGTGTCAACCCAAAGAGGGCCAACACCTGGCCCCAAAGAGGTTTTCCAACAATCGCCGAACATCTCCAGCAACCGCCGAAAATCTCACTTTCGTCCTGATATTCCTTCTCCCCCCCCCCTCTTCCATTTCCCGCTTCCTCCTGCTCCTCCTCATCCTCAGCATCCTGCTACTCCTGCCCCTCCCCGCTCCACCCCACCCCACCTCATCATGATCCTCCTCCTCCTGCCCCTCCTCCTCCCCCCCCTCCTCTTCCTCCTCCTCCTCCTCATCATCATCATCATCATCATCATCACCATCACGCCATCATCATCACCATCCTCATCCTCATCATCATCATCAGCATCATCATCACCACCACCATCATCATCACCACCACCATCATCATCATCATCCTACTCCGTTGCCTCCGTTCCCAATCCTCATCATCATGCTCACCGCTCGCCGTCGTCGCCGGTCATGACCGCCATCGTGCGCTTCTGGCAGCAACGGAAGCTCCCCGGAATGGCGGCACTGGCCGGAGGCCGCTACAATGAGAAATACGCAAAATATATGCATTCATTGCCGAAATTATTATTTTATATATACATATAATATTTGTTTAAAAAAGTCCCCTGACTTTTCGTTTGACTATGTTTGAATATTCCTCCTGTAGAGGGACAGGCCCGACTTAAGAGTACAGTCGAAACGCTGTCATAAGGAACCTGAAATTAAGGAACGAAACCACTTTTTTTGCATAAGGTAAATTTCTATTTCCCATGGCAGACCTACGGAAAGCCGAACAAGAACACGTGAAAAACTAGTTGACAAAAAAACACTGGGCCCCTCCCCGACGAAAAGGGCTCCTTATTCAGCGACCCGACTGTAGAGAGCAGAAACCAAACACTTTCAGAATGAACACTCCGACAAGCGAAGCATATTAGAAAACGCACCCAAAAAAGGAATCGAACAGGACCGGGCTGTTTAGTCAACGCCCACGGCAGCTTTGTAAACTCCAATTATGGGCGTCGGGGTGGTGGCTCCTTCCGTGAAGGAGGGCAGGTGGCGAAAAGCAGGGCGGGGGGGCAAGTGGTGGGGGCAGGGCAGGACAACAGACCCTACATCGAGAAATGCCACGATACGACGTGGAGAGGGGGGAGGAGGGAGGAGGAGGAGGAGGAGGAGGAGCAGGAGAAGGAGGAGTAGGAGGAGGAGGAGAGGGGGGAGGAGAGAGGAGAAGGCGAGGCCCTCAACTCCCCGCGCGTCGTGAAGATCCCCAAAGCAGGTTTTCACAGTACTCGGCCCTGGCCATGCACCCTGGGCTCAGGATCGGCGTGTGGGCCCCCATCTCCTCGCTCGGCGGCGAGCGAGGGGGAGAAGTGAGAAGGAGAAGGCCTTCGCAGAAGGCGGCGGGGCTTCCTGGGAGCCATCCAGCCTTATGAGAAGCTTTCGGTGCCGTTGGGGGAGGCTTCGAAAACTTCTCAGAAGGCTGGGGACTCCCGAGCCTTCTGAGAAGGCCCGCCCCTTCTCACTTCCCCCCTCGGCTCGCCGCCGAGCCGTCTCCTCTCGCCGTGAGGAAATATGCGAGGGGGTGTTTTGTCAGTTTTCGGCCTCCGGGGGCTCTCGCCAGGCCCTGGGGCCGTCAGGGACGAAGCGGGATTTGAAGCCGGTCTCGGGGAAGTGCTCCAGACCTCTACGGATCCACGGGTGCGAAAAGAAATGCGCCGTCGGGCTCCTGGGGGGAAGGAGGAAGGAGAGGAGACAGGAGGGAGGAGGAGCGAGGCTTGACCTACACGGCGTATTCCGTTCTCGTTCCGCCTTGACTGCAGAATGAGATCGAACCGAAAGCGGTCCTCGAAATCGCAAAAGCACCGTTTAGCTCGAGCCCTGGGGAGGAGCAAGAGGACGGGGAGGATGAAGGGGACGAGGCGGAGGAGGCCGCGACAGAGGGAGGAGGGGGACCCAGAGCCCCGACAGCATGACTCTGTCATGACGTTGACCCCCCGGACGTCTCGGCCCAGTCCCACCGTATGGAACGCTTCTCTGACGGTCCCGGGGCCCGGTACGGGGCCCCCAGAGGCTGAGGATAGCGACGACGAAACCCGTCGTGAGCGGCAATGGCTCGATGGGGTCTGGGGAGGGAGGGAGAAGGAGGAGGATCGGATGGGACCCGATCGACGCAGCCGGTGGGCACGCTTAGAGCCTCGGCACGGCGATGGGGGGTGCCTCCTAGGGAGCCACAGGCGGAGGGAGGAGAGAGGAGCTGCACGGGATGCAAGAGCGTAGGGCAGATCGAGGAAGAAGCCTCCTCCTCCTCCTCCTCCTCCGCATCCTCCTCCTCCTCCTCCTCCTCCTCCTCCTCCTCCTCCTCCTCCTCCTCCTCCTCGCTCCTCGCTCCTCGCTCCTCGCTCCTCGCTCCTCGCTCTTCGCTCCTCGCTCCTCCTCCTCCTCCTCGCTCCTCGCTCCTCGCTCCTCGCTCCTCGCTCCTCGCTGCTCGCTCGCTCCTCGCTCCTCGCTCCTCCTCGCTCCTCCTCCTCCTCCTCCTCCTCCTCCTCCTCCTCCTCCTCCTCCTCTTCCTCCTCCTCCTTCTCCTCCTCCTCGCAGAAGCTACGAGTGAAGCGGACCTGGTCCTTGAGACGGAGCGGGTGGAGCGAGGGAAAAAGACCCCCCGGGGATGTTCGAAAAGGGAGCCGCCCAGGCCCCAACCGCAGACGCCTATTGCGAGTTTCTTGATCAGCGTCGGGGGGGGGAGGGCGTCACCCCCGCCGACAGCCCCACATCGGCCCCCTTCGCGGTCAGCCACCGCGCGCCGAAGGCGCTCCGACTCCCGTCGCGGCGCGACGACGAGGCGAGGTTGACGCCCGTCGGGGGGGGTACCCCCCAACGCTTGTCCAGAAACCCAGAGTGCTGGTGCATGACGCAACGAATGACTCGCGCGACACACCCTGCAGCACGCCCGTTGCACCAGGTGCCAGAAGGACTCCGTGCGACTGATGCCCCGCCTACCCTGGTCTGTTGCACTGACTGCAACGTTCGCCCATCTGCTGCGCCTCCTCCCGCGCGCACGAGCAGGAGCCCAGACGGACGCTCGACAAGAGACAGCTTGATGCGTGAGTTAGGGGGCCACCAGCGAACCCTACCCCTACCCCCCACGACTTCTGAGGGGGAGGGTGGGGTTCACTTCGTTCGGGAGTTCCCGAGCGAAGTGAACCCCACCCTCCCCCTCAAAAATCGTGGGGGGTAGGGGTAGGGTTCGCTGGTGGCCCCCTATGAGTGGTCCTGGCGAAGCCCAAACTGAATGTACCCTTACACGGCCGACCACGGCAAAGCCTGGACTGGGGCCCCCAAAAGGTGGAACACTGAAGCCCAGATTGAACCCAAGCTCAATCCTTCTCGTGCTTCGGCGGGAATCGACAGCGATGGTGTGATCAGACCAAGCTAGAAATACGGACCACGCTGCACCACGTGGCCAATGCTATGTGACTGGCCACACGGCACCCCGCGGCAACACACGCGCAACGATGTCGGCACGGCACCCCACGGCACCACAGGGCACGAGACTGGCAACGAATCCCCAAGCTGGGGACACAATATCACAAGGCACCGGGCGGACAACAGATGCGAGAGTCGCGCACACAGGCTCAAGAGCACCGCATGACGCCAGTCTGACATCGGATCCGAAAATGAGATAGCCCCGCACAACAAAAAATGGCACCACACGGCATCAGAGAGGCGACGGTCGGCAGCCATCTCGTCGCGGCCGCCTGCAGCGTCCTTGCCCTTGTCCGTCGGAGCTGGAGCGTCTGCCTCGGCCGGCGCCGCCGGGAGATCGCTCGCATCCGCTCCCGATCCGTGCACTTCGCCCGACTCTTCCGCTGGTCTCCTCTGGCTTCTCCCAACATCTTCGGAAGCACGCCAGACACGGACTTGCGGCACATGCTCCCGCCGCACGGACGCATCGACTTCAGAGAGTCTACGCAGGCAAGTACACGAGACGATGGTCGGCAGTGCATGCGAATATGGAAGGGGAGACGGCCAGAGGGAGAAGAACCACACGGCGATTTCAGTCGGGCCGCTGAAATAAGCAACGCTAAGGAAGGCAGGAAACCACTTCCAGGCCCCTAACCGCCTTAGTTCACGAGGAGGGCTGGAGGAACTTGTTTTCGATCGAGTCTCGAGCGAAATGACAACTGGGCTACGCGTTTCGCCACCTGGGGGCCCTTCGAGCCAAATCGCCCACGGTGCAGCATCGGACGAGCAGCGTCGAGGATGGGACCGGAGGCGGAGCGGAGAGATGCAGAATACGGTGGGGGCTTCAAAAGAACCCTCCTCCTCCTCCTCATCCTCCTCCTGCTCCCACGCACCCTACCGGCCAAAGGAACATCGAGCCCCCTCTGAACCCAAACCGTTCCTCGTCTCGGCGTCTCGCGACTGCAGCGGGGACTGAAGGGGAACTGGGACACACAAATATATATATATATATATATATATATATATATAGACATACATAACCAGATTCCGAATATTTTCCCATATTCTCTGGGTTCCTGTGTTCCCCCCACTTCCCACATTTTCCCATATTTTCTGGGGAATCGACGATTAGTTGTGTCTGTGTGTTTCTTCCCCTCCTGGGGGACACGGACCGCAGGAGTCCTGTGCCCCGAAGAGGCGCGGCCCGCGAGGCCAGCCTGGGCGTCGCTGGGCAGGAAGTCGCCGCCGAAGGAGCCCAGGGACACACAAGCAAATACTCCAGATTTCGTAATAAAGGGAGGGGGGTCTCATTTCGGGGGGGGTCTCTTCCAGGCTATCTTGGAGGGCCTGGGGGGGTCTGGGGACGATGTTTTGGAGGGTTCTCCCACCGGGGGGGGGTCTGAAATGGCTTGTCTTGGAGGGTCCAGACCCCCTCCCTTTTATTTCGAAATCTGGAGTACACACACGTCCCAGGATTCCCCATAGTTCCCCCTAATTTTCTGGAGCTTCGTCCCCCCCCCCCACTTCCCATACTTTCCCAAATCTTCCTGGGAGTCGCCGGTCAATTGTGTCCGAGTGTTTTGCCCCTCCAGAGTGTTCAATAAGAAAGCCCACGGATATCCCAAAGGGCACATCAGCGCACGTGGCAGATGACAGATGCTGACGGGCCGATCTTGCTCAAACGCGCTTCGGAGAGATCGGTGTGCCGCTGTTCTCCCTGCCAGCATCGGATCAGAAACGGTCCCTGGACCTATCCTGGACCCAATCCTCGCACAAGTTTCTCGAGTCGCGCCGTTGTGGCGATGACTCAAAACGTGCTGCGCCTGAGGCCAACAACGACGTGAGCAAAGATGGGGGCCCTCGCGGGCGCGCCAGGAGCTTGCTCACGTCGCCGGGTGCGACCTGCGGGAGGAGTTCCTCCTGCTCCTCGTCCTCGTCCTCCTCCTCCTCCTCCTCCTCCTCCTCCTCCTCCTCCTCCTCATCATCATCATCATCATCATCATCATCATCATCATCATCATCATCATCATCATCATCATCATCATCATCATCATCATCATCATCATCATCATCATCATCATCATCATCATCATAATCCTCATCCTCATCATCATCCTCATCATCATCATCATCATCATCACCACCACCACCACCACCACCATCATCATCATCATCATCATCATCATCATCATATCATCATCATCATCATCATCAGCAGCAGCAGCATCAGCAGCAGCAGCATCAGCATCAGCAGTAGCAGCATCATCATCATCATGATCATCATCATCATCAGCATCAGCGTCAGCATCAACATCACCATCACCATCATCACCATCATCATCATCATCATCATCATCGTCATCATCATCATAATCATCATCATCATCAACATCATCATCAAGATCAGCATTGGCAGCAGCATCATCAGCAGCATCATCAGCAGCAGCATCATAGTCATTATCATCACCATCATCATATTATCATAATCATCATCATCATCGTCATCATCATTATCATGTTCGTCATTATCAGCAGCATCAGCATCAGCCTCATCATCCGCAGCAGCATCAGCATCAGCATCATCCGAGGAGTTCATCCTGCTCCTCGTCCTCCTCCTCCTCCTCCTCCTCCTCATCATCATCATCATCATCATCATCATCAGCATCATCATCATTATCATCATCAGCATCATCAGCATCAGCATCATCAGAATCAGCATCATCATTATCATCATCATCATCGTCATCAGTATCAGAATCAGCATTAGCATCATCATCATCAGCATCATCGTCATCGTCATCAGATTCATCGTCATCAGCATCATCATTGTCAGCATCATCGTCACCACCATCAGCAGCAACATCATCATCATCATCACAATATGCAGCATCATCATCAGCAGCACCATCCTCATCATCATCATCATCGGCATCAGCAGCAGCATCATCATCATCATCATCACCATCATCATCACCATCACCATCACCATCATCACCATCATCACCATCATCATCCTCATCATCATCAGTATCAGCACCAGCATCTGCGTCATCATCATCATCCTCATCCTCATCCTCCTCATCATCTTCATCATGATCAGCATCATTATCGCATTCTTCCCCTCTCCTTCCCTTCACGGGCGTTCAACCACCTCCTCCTCCTCCTCCTCCTCCTCATCCTCTTCCTCCTCCTCCTCCTCCTCCTGCTCCTTCTCCTCCTACTACTACTACTCCTCCCTCCCTCCCTCCCTCCCTCAATCCCTCCCTCCCTCCCTCCCTCCCTCCAGTCTCGGCTCGAGGTTCCCTGACCCAGAGCGCAGCCACGACGCGAAGCCCCCGCAGGTCCCATAGGTCCCACAGGTCCCACAGGCCACAGGGGTCCCCAGGACCCCCAGGTCCAACCAGTCCAAGAGTCAGGAGGAGGAGGAGGAGGAGGACGACGAGGAGGAGGAGAAGGAGGAGGAGGACGACGAGGAGGAGGAGGAGGAGGAGGAGGTCCCACAAGGCCCACAGGGCCCGCAGGTCCCACAGGTCCCACAGGGCCCGCAGGGCCCACAGGTCCGACAAGGCCCACAGGGGAGCAACCGCTGTCTGGCACTGTGGCCACTCGTGCTACCAGCACTGACAATACTCATCCGCCACCGTGCCGCGAAGCACTGAGTGGGGTGTCCCGAGGCCCTTGAACCCTCGATACTGCATTTCGTAAGCCATTCTCTGAATGCCTCCGGAGCACCCTCGGGCGCCTTGGGAGCGTTCACGCGTGTCTCGCATGGGCCCTCCAGAGCGTGGCTGGGCACGCCAACCTCCAACACGCCACGAGAGGGTCCCAGGGGTCCATCCTGAGACCGTCTCGGGGGTCTCCTGGGTCGTCTTGGAGGCCCCCGGGCCAACCCCAAAGCAAAGATCTGCCAAAACTCAGAAGGGACCCCAAGACGACCCAAGCCAAAAAGACAACGTCGAGCAGTGTTCAACCCAAGACAAAAATCTGTCAACTCTGCCAAAACCCTTGAGAGTCCGCACGGTTTGAACACTGCCGCCTTGGCGGTCTTCAGAGCGTGCGGCGCAACCCTTAGGTCGGGCATGTCCCCCTACAGGCGGATTTGGGACGACAAATAAAAATAAAAAACAACAACATTCTCTTTTTTATATTTTTTTTTTAAAACAAAAAAAAAAAACAAAAAAAAAAAAAAAAAAAAAAAAAAAAAAAAAAAAAAAAAAAAAAAAAAAAAAAAAAAAAAAAAAAAAAAAAAAAAAAAAAAAAAAAAAACTCTGGGCTCAGGTGGTCTAGAGCGTCCAACCTCCTTCCTTTCCCTGCTCGGGAGGTTTACCTCCCCCCCCTCCCTGCGTCAGAGAGTGCGAAATGGCCTCCAAGATGGCCCAAGATAGCGGTAGATGGCTCAAGATAGCCTCCGACACGCATCCAAGAGGCCTCAAGACGGCCCCAAGACGGTTTCAAGTGCGCTCCAAGCCCTCCGAAGACCCCCCCAAGAGGCCAAAATCCTTCAAAAACCTTGGGAAAATCAATGTGTTTTGCCTTCTCGCTCTTTCGCCTCCGATGGGCTCTTCAGGCCTCAAGATGGCCCCAAGACGGCCCAAGATAGTCCCACGAGGGGCCCAAGAGGGCCCCAAGACGGCCCCGAGAACGCCCAAGAGAGCGTCAAGAGCGGCCCAAGAAGGCCCCAAGACGGCGTTCTTGAGCCTCCGAGGGGGCGATGGGAATTAGAACCCCCCATCTTTTTTAGCGAAGGGGCCCAAGACGGCCCCAAGAGGCCCCTCAGGCATCCCAAAAGAGCCCCAAGAATGCCCCCAGACCCCCAAAAAAAGCCCCAAGAGGGCCCCAAGACGCCCCAAAAGAGCCCCAAAAGGGCTCCGAGAAGGCCCTAAGAGGACCGCAAGAGAGCCCAAGGAGGAGCTCCAAGCGGCTGCAAGAGGGCCCCAAGAGAACCCCCAGAGAGCCCCAAGATGGCTCCAAGTTCGAAACGCACGTGAGCTTAAGATACAAATCTGCGCAACAACCAATACGAGTCATCGAAACACCCCTCACCCCTCATCGAAGCACCATCGTAGCTTGCACGGATTTCCATCTTTAACTTCAATGCGGAAAGCTCTTTGTGATCCTCGTTTTCCCGAACACGGCTGCGCAACTGCATGCGTCCTGCCGCCCCTGATTCACCGACTCCCCTGCTGATCGTTTCTGCATGGGTTGGTGGGGATACTTTTTAGTCGCAGCTGCAGGCCGACCAGACGACAGCGTCAGTAGAGTAGCACGGGCCGCGAGCACCCTAATTGCCGGCGCGCGCGCCGAGCAGGCAGACCAAACCTACCGACTGGTGGGGATACTTGTAATAGCCAGCCGCAGGCGAGCGCGCCGACGGCGTGTAAGGTCCGAGCGGGCCGCGCAAGGGCCTAAATTACCTAGCGCGAGCAGGCCGCGCCTCAGCTCAGGACCAGGAAGAAGCCGAGGGGGGGGGGGGCTGCGGGCTGCTGACTGCCAGGGGCTGGACTGGTGGGGGTATTTTTTTTGTCAGCGGCCGCGGGCAAGCGCGCTGGCGGCGAGTCCAGTCAAAGCGCGGCGCGCAGCGACAAATTCACCTAAAGCAACGGAGGCCGGCCTCATCTAAATCGGCTAAGCGGGACCTCACACAGCACCTCAGCGGCGGACCGGCGAGTGGAGGGGGCAGCTGAAGCTGAGTCGTACTGCCAGCGTGCAGGTATGCATGGCGTCGGAAGCACCAGGTAGAACGCGAAGCGTCAAGAATACGCGAAGCGTCAAGAATACTTTGTTACATTCGCTTTACCAAAGAAGTCACCAGGCTACGTTTGGCCATTATTGCATGTCTCTCCTGTAGAGAGACAGCCAGGACGGGCCCAGGACGGGCGCCGGGGAAGGCCGAGGAGACCCCCCAGAGGGCCCCAAGATGAGCTCGAAAGGAGGGAACCCAAAGATGAGCCCGAAAGGAGGGAGCCCTCGACAGAGGATGGAGGAGGAGGAGGAGGAGGAGGAGGAGGAGGAGGAGGAGGAGGAGGAGGAGGAGGAGGAGGAGGAGGAGGAGGAGGAGGAGGAGGAGGAGGAGGAGGAGAGGAGGAGGATGGAGGAGGAGGAAGAGAGGAGGAGGGAGGAGATGGAGGAGGAGAGATGGAGGAGGAGGAGGAGGAGGAGGAGGAGGAGGAGGAGGGCCGAAAGATTTCGTCGTCTCAGACTCGGCGATCGCGCCAGTCGGTCGAAGAAGCAGGGCTGCTGCTGGCAGCCGCTCGGGCACGGAGGCCGCAGGACGCGCGGACGCCGGCGCTGCCCGCAAGAGCATCCACGCGAGGGGACTGAGCGGGCTGGGGCCTCCTCCTCCTCCTCCTCCTCCTCCTCCTCCTCCTCCTCCTCCTCCTCCTCCTCCTCCTCCTCCTCTTCTTCTGGGCCAGAGCGCCCACAAGAAGAGGAGGAGGAGGAGCAGGAGGAGCATCAGGAATATCAGATGAAGCCACGAAGTGGCCGACCCTCCTCAGTCAGACGAGCCCGCTTCCCACGAGGACGAGGAGCAGGAGGAGGATGAGGAGGACGAGGAAGAGGAGGAAGAGGAGGGAGGAGGTGGGAAAGCTCCACTCGCCAGGCTGTATAAGACGACGCTAAATCGACGCTAGTTGACGCTAACCGACGCTAAACTCGACAGTAAGACGAAGCCAGGACGAGGATCAAATCGGGTACGGATAAATCGAGAATCTCTGGGATCCGGCGGCTCTGGAAAATGTCTCGGGTGCCGCGACCTTCTCAGAGCGTTCCGGAACGCTCTGGAACGGATTTCTCCTCGTCCTGGCCCCGCCCGATAGTAGAAGTACACTCGCCCAGGGTGGGGTCGAAGAGCCCGAAAAAGCGCTAGGCCGAAGGGCACTTGATAATACCAGTCCTGCAAGC